CTCCTTTGGCTACTGGTCATGGTTCAAAAAATCTGCAATAATTTGCTACAAGAGTTGACATATTAAGATCAAACATTTTTTATCTGTTTATCTCACTTTCATGAGCAAGTGGTAAATAGATTTTATTTAATATAGATGTACTTTTGATTGTACAGTCAGTAAATATTATGGATGTGAAAAAGGCAAAAAGTAGTGCACGAAAACGCGTATCTCAGATGTGCGGCACATATGTTCGCCTTTCATTTCATTTCATTTATTAATCCTTAAGGGTCCTCTGTCGAGGACATTACATAAGGAGGGGGCAACACAAGAAATTATACAAGAAATGAAAAAACAACAACATAAAAATTACATAACAACGCACTCTCATGCAACGTAGCTAAAAAACTTAACTTGGTGTGGAAAAATACGACATGATGGAGCTTTTGAAAACCACAGGGTCAGTTATTGTAATGAGTGATTCTGGAAGACTGTTCCAGTCCACAATTGTTAGTAGGAGAAATGATTTGTTAAAGGCATTACTGGAACCCGATATACGTTGAAAATTGTAAGAGTTATTGAGCCGACGAGATGACCGTGCGGGAGTGCGCAGGAATGAGCTTCGAACAGTGGGATGATAGTGGTAAAGTTTATGGAGTAAGCAAAGACGTGCAACCTTGCGGCGTACCTCCAGAGTTAGTAAATTTAGGCTCGTTTTCATGGCAGAGACACTGTTTTTATAGTCATAGTTTGATAAAATGTAGCGGGTTGCTCGGTTTTGAATTGCCTCCAGTCGGGTGATTAAGTAATTTTGGTGCGGATTCCATATTGTAGATGCATATTCCAATTTTGGTCGAATGAAGGTTTCGTATGCAAGTTTCCTAAGCTTTGGAGGAGCAGCATTCAAGCAACGCCGGATGTAACCAAGGGTCCTTGCTGTGTCCGAAGAAATTGTGTTAATGTGATTAATCCATGTCATATCGGAAGTTAGTACGACACCGAGATATTTATACCTATCGACTTCTTCAATGATCTCGTCGCCCAGCACATACTGGAAGGAGGAAGGAACTTTTTTCTTTCGTTGCATGAGCATTTCCTGATAGCAGGTCACAAGGCAAGTAAAAAAACCACCAATGTCCACTGGTGGCGATATCAATATCAAGTTTTGAACAGTGATATAAAAAAAACACAGAAACAAAGGTCCGAACAGTGAATTCACCAGTGTTTTTATGTTTTAACGTTTTCACAAAAATACTATTAGCCATACAGTTCTATGTGCTTGTTGTATTTACATAAATAAAGACGTCGCCTCACGGATAGGATTTCTTTAGCATGGCATCTGTAGCCGGTTTGCCATTAGCCGCTCATTGTGCACCTCGTCTGTGCACTCTGGCCATGCGCTTCTCTGCAGCTTGACTTTGTCAGTAGGGGCACATGCCGACGCTGGCCTCATCGCCAGGAGCCTACGCCATTACAGCGCTTTCAGTACCATACCTAACACTATAAATCATAGTTTTCAGGCTTCCATGCGGAAAACAATAATAGTACTCGAAATAACATGTTCACCCAATAACATGTCATACTAATCTAATATGCACTTTGATTGATGAACAAATTCAGGGCATTTCATTGAACTGTTGGGAAACCGAAAGTAAATTGCTAAATATTTCGACAATAAAATTTCTTTGTCTCTGATATGTGCTTCTACATGAAGTGTTTAGTGCCACTTGCCCATGCCAAGCGGCACTATACACTGCTATAATGGCTCAGTAAATTCTTAGTTCCAGCTTTGGTTATTGCGAAGTCATTATAAAGATTCAGCTTCATTTATGATTACGAATAAAGATTGTTCTTTATCGATTTTGTTATGATTTGCGTTTCTGGTGAACATTGTGGATTGATGAAATGTGCATGCCAGTGGAACACTAGTTTTGGCATGGGTAAAGGTAATATTTCTAAGCTGGGGTGTTGGAGGAAGTATTCAAGCTTTTGGAGACAAAAGTGGCGCACCCGAAGCCCCCGGAGCGCAAATGCGTTCTCTTGCTTGATGAGATGGCCCTTGTTGAGAAGTTTGAGTACGATCCCAGTACCAGCTACATCCGGGGTTGTGTTACAATGTCCGTGCCTGGAGCATTATCCTCACACCCACCACCTGCCAGCCAGCCCAGTCTCAGAACAATGTCCGGGCCTGGAGAGACATTCTTCAAGCCCCCATCTGGCACCCACTCAAGCACCAGTTGCGTACCTGGTCAGAGAGCAGTGCCCGTGCCTCAACCACGCCCCGAGCCACCGTCTGCCACCCATGCTCTGGCGTTTATGGTTGCTGGGGTGTCCTCTGGATGGAAGCAAGTCATCTGCTACCACTACAACTGGTGAGTCATGCTTGCATGCTTTAATGAGTTGTCTAACTTTATACCGGGAGTTTCAGCGAAGAGTGACTAAAATTCCTAAAATTAGTGTATTTAGGTAAAAGGATCATGTTCTCGGGACCGCATTACTCGTTGTGGCGGATGTAAAAAAATATGCGATACTTACTCGTTAGATAAATATTTAAATAAAAATGACTAATTCACTTTTTATGCGGTGAAAATAGATATATGGTTTCCATTAGAAACTTGCTAGGCTTCATCGAAAACTGCTAAATCAATCATTTTCAGAAAGACTGAGTGCGTGAGAAGCGTAGTAGTGCGCTAAAGTTGTCACTCTTGGAGCAGATAAAAGGTTGGGGCTCTCATAAGAGATGGAAAGTCGCGGGGCACCTTACCGCAACCACTAGCCCTGTACCTGCTCCATGAGTGGTAACGTTAGTACACTACTACGCTTCTCATGCACTCAGTCTTTCTGAAAATTACTGATTTAGTGGTTTTCGATGACGCTCAGCAAGTTTCTAATTGAAACCATATGTACATTTCCACGAATTAAAAGGTTAATTAGTCCATTTAATCAATTAGTTAACTAATGAGAAAGTATCGCACATTTTCTTACATCCGCCACAACGAGTAATGCGGTCCCGAGAAAATGATTTAATTTTTTGCCTATAATACACTGATTTTGGAACTTTTGTCAGTCTTTGCTGAAACACCCGGTACATATTTGAATGTTTTTCATTACGTTCTCAGCTTGGCTTCCAACTATAATGATGGCAATTCCTGTAAAGGAGACAATATAGACATGGAAGTGCCCTTTCAACATAAAGATGTTACATCTCTTCGGAATGCAACAAAAAAGGTGCAGTGCTACACATTCGTACTTTGGCTCCTACTGACAAGAACTGGGTTTGGCCATGTGGGCGACTTGTGTGACCTTGAATTCCTGTTTTTCTACTCTTGTGCAAATGGGATATTCAAAAAAGCGCTGAAATGTTCATAGCTGTAATACCTGACATATATTAATTTTAAACTTGTGCCTGGTCTTTCACCTAATTGAAGTATAATGAATAGCCATCAATACATGTCTTCTACATTTTAAGCTTTGTGATAATAATTTTGCACAGGGAAAGATACATGTCGGGTGTTTTCTTGCTACACCATCAGAAGGCATCTGGTATACCCCAGCAGGACTGAGAAATAATTCTGACCACCTGGTGATGTCTTGGACGTGCAGCTGGAATCATTAGAAAATATATGTTTTCTTGACTCTTTTGTATTGGCACTATAATTAATCATCTGTCATGTGCTCACGTGACGTCATGGTGTCAAGACATTCTGTCAAGTAATGTCACGCCACGTGGCTTCGTGACGCAGTCGCGAGACTCACTGCACCAGGTCTACTCAAATTGAGAATGTCACTAGATTTTTTAGCGTTGTTGATACTGTGACATCACAAAGCATCACGAATTCTCACCACGAGTCACATGACAACGTAACGTACTCGATTGTCATAAGCCCGAGTCCAGTGCTCTGGTTCATGACAATCAGCGTCTCCAAACATTCGGGTAATGACTCGTGCTCAATCAATGATCGATGAGAATAGCTGAACCCTAACCATGTCTAAAGCTCAACCCATGCTTAATTTTTTTTCCAACCTCAGTGCATGACAGTGATGAACACTGGCGGTACTCTATAATTAGTGTCAGATCACGAGGCCGCTCGTTCTAATAGCGAGTTGAGGAGGGGAAAACCTTCCTTTATTTTTCCGGTGTCCTCCATTGAAGGGAGAGGAAAACTAATGGGTGTTTTTGCAAGTTATCAACGTCAAAGATAAGTTCTTGGCGGTATTTACTGAAAGTACAAATATTGTTGCACGACCCCTTTTATATGTACACATCATTGAGGCACTCAAGCAGGTTTTCGTTGGTGCTGAATTGTCTCAGAAAGTTGACCCCGAGAATAAAAACATTGAAAGGACTAAAATTGATCCGACAATAAATAGAACTACAAATGTGTACAAAAAAAGACCTAAAAAAAGAAGAAAAAGAAACTTCTAGTGGTCTTAGAGGGACAGCTGAATTTTGGCAGCCGCTCTATCGACAGGAAACAATAAGCCGAAAAGGACTTGCTGTTTCTTTGTTCCTTTTGATGCATTGGGGCCTGCGCGCTGCAGTCAATTTTTAGGTTTTTAACTTAGACAACTTTAATAAAGTATTTACCCTTACAATTGCCGCAATACAATTTTCAGGTGTAAAATATGCTTTCGGACAGCACAGGATTCCTGGTTGTGCGTGTTGAAGAATTTTCTTTAATACATTCGTCTTCAGTCGTGAAAATGATGTCCTCCTCTTCTTACCCCTCCCCCCCCCCCCCTTTCCCGGTCAGGGTGTCTCGCATTTCGACGGCAGGAAGCCAGTGCACACTAGCCAGTGTGCAAATCGCGACCAACCTCTGGTTCTGAACTTGACGGCGGGTTTCGCAGTATTTGCGAAATCAAATATACACGTTATCTTCTGAAAATGGCCACTTACAGCACTGTCAGACGTAATTCACTTTTACGATGAAAGAATGATGAGTAGAAAATTTGGAAATATACGCGAACCGGAAGTGTGCCAGGCTACCCATAGATGGCGCCACTAAGATTGTTGCCAAACAAAAAAGGGCAAAAGGGCCTGCCCTCAAACTTTTGTGACATTTAGCAAAAACTGCCAAGTTTAGCTCAGTTGCGTCATCATCATATATATCGTGAAATGCATTTTATAAACAAGATTTCACAATATATATGGCGAGAAGGTGCCCATTCCATGATTATATGCCTGTAATGAATTCCTACGTTCCAGAGCGCAACTAAGATTCAGCTTCTAATACTGTGACGCAAAGTTGTACCAATCACGGCTTTTTAGGCAACCTACCACATGGATAACCTTTCGATTCAGGTAAAATATATGTCACTGAGGTAAACAAATAAATGTTGATTCGTATAAACACGACGTTATGTATGGTAATCTAGCTTTTCTTTGACTGTTTCGTTAAAATTAAACAACATAACTTTTTTTAAATTTTGGTACCTGAAAAAATAGACTTTACAAATGGCAAAAGACTATTGAGTTACTCGTTTCACGCTTGAAATAGTGCCTATTGCCAAAACAACGCGGAAAATATATTCTGAATTTATCAATTCAAACCAGTTCGAACCGTTATTTTTGCTCTCCGGAACTGAACAGTAGGCCGTGAACCTGAACCGTAACCGAACCGATAAAAAATTGACTTTGACACTCTGCTCTTGGTTATGTTTTTTTACAAACTTTGTATTGCTTGTGTGGAGTAGTAATGCCATGCATGGGCAGTCAGTAACAGTATTTTGTGCTTTTTGCATAAATTTTGTTCTTTCGTGACATGTTCTACGGCTTACCAAAGTTTAAAGCAAATTTTATTAAAATCTGTTTCAACATTAGGTAATTGCGCCAGTCAGTAACTTTTCATATGAGAAAAAGAAAAAAAGAAAAATTGGGCGTATGTTTATGCAGTGAGAAGTCTATATAACCTTGAGATATGTCGACACAGGCTTATGCTACACATGAGCGATTCATTTAGTAAGGGCAGTATGACAGTTTACCTCGGGTTTTACCATGCACCTTGCTGTAATGATTACACAACCGCACACCGATACATTGTTTATTCCGTTTGAAACATGTAGGATTAAAAAAAGAACTAAGCATATCAAGAGTTCTTTAGTGTAGGATAGTGTAGGATTGTGCATCAAATATGCAAAGCTATGGTGTGCTAACACCTCACTTTCCAATCTCCTGGACATTGCTATGTCGGTACTACATTCAAGGACGGCAACAGAGTGTCGACAGAGTTCATATCCTTTATTCCATTGGACCAAGTAAGAATATCAGAGTCGCACACATGAAGTGGTGTCTGAAATGTTTTTGAGATAAGGGGCCGTGGGGATATTTAATGTGGTGAAGACACCGAAAGACCGTCTTAAAACTGATACCCCCCCCCCTCATTATTATGGAGACCTTTAATCCCCACAGAGATTGCCCATAATATATTGTCCATAATGATGAATCAGTAAGACTCACATTTAATAGACAAAAAACAAGTACACAAAAAAGATGCTGCGTATATTGAGGCAAAAATTTATTTTGTTTTCATTTCTACAGATGCTTTGGTACTATACTTGCTTATCTAAAAATGTATCCGGTTTGCATATCGATGATCCTTCTGTTCCAGAAAAGCAGTCGCTTATGTTTTACACTTGCCCTGATCTTTGGCTGCTTCCGCTTCACAGCTTACATTGTCTTAACTTCTTCTAAGTATAGAGGGAAGTGTCTCGCATTTACTTCTATGTGCAAAGGACATGAACAATGACTGTTTTTTGGGTTTGTCATTCATGGCAATGAAGCAAATAAGGAGGGAAGTGCAGATGACCCATTTGGCCGAATAGCTCCCAAAAATCTAACCACTGTTCAGTGCATATGTCTTAGCTTTTTCTCAGGAAGGGCAGCCAGGAACAGACAATACTGAAGCTCTATGTGTACTGTATAACCAAAGCATTTTGCAAATTCTTTTTACGTGTGTTTGTGGATCGTCTTTAAAAGGCCTCCGTCAATAAGGAGACAAAAATGCACGTATTTACCCAGTTCATTCCCAAGCTAACTGTCCACGCTACGAACTACTGGAGTCCTAAACTGGACGGTGAAATGACGGGACCGGAACATCGCTGACCGCCACAATTGGCCAGCGCCGTATGTGACATCGTTGATGCTCCCGAGATCGGGAGGTGGCGATGCTTCAGTCCATTGGTTCCGCCATCTAACTTTGGGCCTCAAGTGTTTATATTAATGAGACATAATTGTATGAGTATGGATCGGTCCCCAAAGAGTTTGTCTATAGGTTGCGGTGCCCATGTTAATGAGACATAAGTGGACATAAAGTGTTTGCATTTTCAAAAAAAAAAAGGATTGATCTAATAGTGCGTTGGTTTGATCTAGGCACGAGAAAGCATCGAGTTGTCACAACTATAGTCACTGACAGCTTGAGAAGTGCAGGGCGAGTCTCGAGCACCTGAGTATAGCTCTGCAGCTTAGTGCAGCCTTAGCCGATAGGCACGCCCAATAATGAATCACAAACAGAATAGGCCACACCCAGCATTTGTCACGTTCTCAGTAGCTATAGCATGGACTAAATGTAATTTTTTTTTGCCTTTTGAGATATTTCAGTTCCCGTTCATGCTTTTGTTGCAGGCAACTCCTTCTGTGGAAAAGAAGCTGCCTCCCAAGTCAAGATACTTATTGTGCGGTGCAACAGTGTTGGCTTGCACCCGCAACATCCTGGGGAGCAACTTTGTTCTTTTAGCTGATGTTCCCCACTTGATCAAGAACTTGAACGAGCACCTTGTGCGCGGATCGGCAAACGTCCTGCCAGCAGACTTTGTGACTGCTAACAACCTCACGTTCCCCACTGTGTCCCTTGACCCCATTTGCCAGCCGGTGGAGTTCCAGAAGAACCTGACATTCAAACTGGCCCCTAAACTTTGGCTTGAGCTTCCAGACCCAAATCATTTTGAGAAAATGAAGGTGAGCATTTACAGCAATGAAGATGTCTTGCTTTGCTATTCTATAGGAAAACGAACACTTTGTTATGCTATGCTTGTGGTTTTGCCAGAACCCACGGAGACCAATCATGAAAACTATGGAAGGAGACGGCAAATGGCAAAGCAGAGATAACGTTTGTCATAAAAAAAGTGCGATCTATATAGGTCTCATTTTTGCTTTCCGACGTTATCGGTGCCTCGTCATTCGCCGGGCCTCTTCCGTATATCGCAATGATTGGCTCTTCTTGAGCATTGCAGATAAATACACGCGCAGGAATTGCACGAAAATAGGTCGACTTATTTTCGAATAAATACGGTAAGGTACTCCACGCCTGCGTGATAAGATTAAATGTGGTCAGGAAGAATACTATCTTCAATATAAATTTCAGGATTAATTAGGCTTGCCGTTTCAACATGAGTAAATGCATCGAAAACCTCACATCATCGACAAAGTTGTACCATATTAAGTTTTAGTGGCACCATCTGTCCGAGGTGAAAAAAAAACTATTCCTCCCTTGAGCCTCACCTCGTTGTACCACTACGTCAGTCGAACTTCCTGAGCCGCACCTCGTTGAACCACCACGTCAGTCGAACTTCCTTACGGAGAAGAAAGCTCTTTTCTCTCTCTGTCTCTCTCCCCCCTACCTCTCCCCCTCCCTACATTGCCTAAGCCACCATACTTAGACTAACCTTCAAGGTCTCCATTCCAATTGCAAGCAGACGCTGCGCGGGCTGGAGGCTCTGGAAGAGAACCCCAATCAGATCATTTCTATCCCCATTGCACCTCACTGCGCACGTGACTCGGAAGAGAGTGTACAAACTGAGAGTGGTTTGGAGGCGGTCGAAAACGTCGATTGTTTGACTGTTTTTTTTTTAACTTACTTGGTGGAAAAATTATTTTAGTTCTTTAATCCAGGCGTGACAAGGAACAACTACCACAATCATTTGATCGAAGTCCAAACAATGTTGCACGGCCCCTTTATTAATAAAAGACTGTGACTGCTGTAGCATACGGCTTTCTAAATCTGCAAGATAAGGCATGTTGGAAAACGGCTGGGGCACCACTCCCCTAAATACCTTCAACAAAGTTAGCGAGTGCTGCTTACATTAAAGTTGATACCTTCAGCACCTGTAGGCTATCTAGGTGATAGTAAAGTCTGCTTTACTACTGTGCAGACCAAGTGCAGGTATTTATCAAAGAAAAGCACCGATAAAGAAAGAAATGTTTCTAAAATATTGGCCGCATAACAAACAATACAGTTTGTTATGTCAAAACAACCAATGTAGCATGATTATTTGTGAAATAGTTACTTGCCACAGCAGTTTATAGGAAGTGAGTAGTCAGTACCTGTAAAAACTGGTGTCTGCTGTTTGCGGCAGGTGCATTTTTTATGTATTTGTATGTTTTTGCTTTAAGGAAAGCAACAACAATTATCATATGGATGAATAAGCCTGCTCCAGCAGTCAAAGACTGTTCACTGTCTGTTTCATTCCCACTAGGCAAAAAGAAATTGGCCAAGCTTCTTTGCCAGGAGGTGTTTTTCATGAATTAGGAATTGTTATAACTTCCTAATTGTGCTTAGAATTGCAACCACAAAATGTGCTTTAGAACCTAGGACAATATTTCACCAGGATGAACTGTATGCGGAAAAATTACTATCATCTAAGAAAAGATTAATAAGAGGCCCGAGAAAAGCAATCCAGTGGACAACCTGAATGGAAGTTCAGTTAGTCTGCACAAAGTTGTTTTGCTGAGGAGAAGGTTACAAACTTTTTAGTTTTTTTTTTTTTTATAGCCTCAGCTGATTTTACAAAACTTTTTATGCACATAAGAAACTAAAGAAACATTAATTATGTTGTTTGCAGGTTAGCGCTGCCCTGCAGGTCCTGAGCCACTCCTTGGCCATTGCCCTTCGCTTCCTGGTGGAGAACCACGGCAGGAGCCAGGACTTCCTCACCACAGCCTGGTTTTTCGAGCAGGTGAACAGGTAGTTCGACCTCATGAGCAGCAGGTACTCGGTCCTTGCTATCAGTAAGCAAAACGTGGCGAGCTATACAAGCGCAATTGAGTTTCTGACCAAGTTTCGGCGGCTTTTTAGCCAGCTAAAAATTGGAGATGGGGCATACGAGCAGGTACGGGCAAGGGTAGTGCTCTCAACGAAGTTAGTTCTAGACCTGCAGAAGATGATCATCGACAAGCACTCATTTTCTTTTGTTTTGACATCCCGGTTCACCCAAGACTGCCTGGAAAACTTGTTTTCGGTAGTGCGACAGGGCAATCCAATACCAACTCCTTGGAGTTTAAGATGGCCCTAAAGTTGATAACCCTGTCGCAGTACCTCAAGGCTTCTAAATCAGGCTCGTACGAACTGGACGATGCTTCGTCTTACCTGACTGACTTGGCGGACCTCACTGCACTGCCAACTGCATGCAGTGATGTTTAGCCTGAGGAAATCGAACTAGGTCTACATGTCTGATCCCGAGAGGAATAGCTTTGTCTATTCCTCTCGGGATACTTTTCCGCAAAGCATGCAAGTTGCGAAAGTTATAGCTTTGTTTAAAACTGGAAACAAAAACAAATTAGGGAATTGTCGTCCTATATCTATACTTCCAATATTTCTAAAGGTTTAAAAAAAATAATTCACTCGCGGATTGCAAATTTTCGTGACAAACATTCTCTAATTATAACAGACTATCAATTTGGCTTCCGGAGAAATCGGTCTATAGAAGCAGCATTATTAGTTCAGAAAGAATGTATACTTAGAAACTTCGAAGAAAAGAAACTGATGCTTGGAATATTTATAGATTTCAGCAAAGCTTTTGATTGCATTAATCACACTATTTTGCTCGATAAACTCTTTGCTTACGGTATTCGAGATCCTCCGCTTGCACTTATAAAATAATATCTACAATATCGCTCTCAGTTTGTGGTAATTAATGACCAAAAATCAACCCTTTCAAACATATCGTCAGGAGTTCCACAAGGAAGTATCTTAGGGCCCCTTCTTTTTATACTATATATTAATGACTTAGTAAACATTGATCCAAACTGCAAATATATCATCTATGCGGATGACACTAGCATATTGTTTTCAGACAGTTGTGAGCAGAGCCTAAGAAATAAAGCCAATGCATTTCTTTTAAAGTTGAAGGCATGGTCAGAAATAAATTGCTTAAACATTAATGTGTCAAAAACAAAAGCAGTCATGTTCCGACCTCGTGGTTCGGGTGAGAGACTTTCCACACCCCTCAACTTTGGATCTTTAAGTATTGAGTTTGTACACAGTATAAAAACGCTTGGAATTATTTTTTCTGAAACCTTGCTATGGAATGATCACATTAAATATCTTTGTGCTAAACTTGGAAAGGTAGTAAGAATTATGAATAAACATAGACATGTTCTTCCCACGAGTGTAAAAAGGGTGCTATACAATTCATTATTCTATTCCCATTTATGCTATTGTAACTTGGTCTGGGGCAATACATCCATGTCAAATTTAAATGCGATACATTTACTCCAGAAAAAGGTCGTAAGAATAATTGCCAACGTTCCTTACATACATCCAACACAACCATTGTTTAAAATTTACAAAATTCTTAACATACATCAAATGCATGATTATCGACTGACACTCTCGTATAAGTATGCGGCACATGGACGTAACGATATAATTTTTTAACTCGCTGATTTAAAAGAAAAAAGTTACTATTACTCATCTAGACATCGCCAGCCTTGGCAGATTCCGAAATGTAGAACCAATTATGGTAAGCAGAAAATGAGCTACACGTTACCTATGTTATTAAATGATTATTTTATTCGGAATATAGATGTTATTCAGCTTTCGAAGAATAATATCCTCGAATTGTTTTTTCTTCAATCTTGATCGTACATGTGTTACTTATGATCATATATAAATGCACAAAAAATTAAATGTTCATTGTAAATACATTTATGTGTCGTGTCGCAGCTGCTGAATGGGGGGTCCGGAGCTTCGTCAAGCTGCGTTCATGCAGCTTTTTCTCTGGCCTCCCATTCACCACATGTATCTGTGGTGATGAATAAAGTTATTATTATTATTATTATTATTATTATTACTGTGGGGTCTGTTGTGCACACAGTGATTGAGAACAATGTAACGTGCGACATCTGTGCTGCAGCAGTTCAGGTGACCACAACGCCTGCACATAGCCTCCTTGGGCTCAAGAACTATGTCCCCAATGTGCTGAAATGCCCCTCTGAGGCTGCAAGCACACTGTTTGCAAGGTGCGAAAGCGTATTTCGGGAGTCTCATGCCTTCTGAGGCTGCAAGCACACTGTTTGCAAGGTGCGTAAGCGTGTTTCGGGAGTCTCATGCACAACTTAGTCCGCGCACAAGGTATCCTGGACAGCTTGTCAGCAAGGATGGCCGCGAAATGCCAGTGTGTTCAGCTGCGCGAGTGCCATGACATCAAAACTAAACTGATCAGGCGCCTCCGCCATGCACGGCTGCAACTTTTCCTTCGTGAAAAAAGTCGCAAGGCTGCAGCTAGGGCAACTGAGAACAGAGAATTTGGCAGCAAATCAATGGCAGCGCTTCGCAGGAGGAATTACTAATTAGTGTTTTAGTGCCTCAGTGACGTCAGTAGCCATTTCCTCCCTGTTGTCATTCTTATCTTCTTTGCTTTCTTTCTTGTGTTTGGGATGGCACTTATTCTAGCATTGTTCCTGTATTGAAATCTTTTATTATTATTATTTCGTGCCTGCTAAGCATGTTTGTAGCTCACACTGATTTTTTTATGTTCTGCATGTAAGCCCATGTGCAACTTCTCCTCTAATGTGAGCTTGTCCTTTGATCCCGCTGTTATCATATTTACTTTCTTGGTGGACACTTCCTTCAATCTGTGCACTGTTTGCGTGTGTGTCTTTTTTTTTTTCTACTTATCGTGGACATTGTAGCCACCCCTTTGTTTATTGTGCCTGTGCATGTAAGCTTATGCCAAGACTGTCTTCTAATGTGCACGAGTTTGTTTCTTCCCCCTGTGTTCTTCTGTTTGAGTTTTCTTTTAGCACATCTTGAGTTCAATACACTCATTCTGTGTTTACGTTGTTTTTTTGTTTTTTTTTTTTTTTCTTACTAGAGATGTTTCTGGCCGTCTTTTGTTTTGTTTCTTTCTCGCATGTAAGCTTTCGACATTCGCAAAACTTATACGCTTCTGCGAGCCTGTCCTATGCAGTAGTCGTTCAATTCTGCTTCTGACAGGTTGAGCGACGTGAAAACATCTTCCGCTTCTTTACCCATGGCGTACAGAAATGTCTTTATTTAATGCTTCAAAGCGTTTTGGAGATGGAGTTTAGAAGTGATCTGGTAGCATTCCCAATGGGTAATCCATCGCTTCCAGTCGCTCGGCTTCCAAAAATCTAACTTCTCCGGTAGTTTGACAGCGAACGGGTTGAAGAAGGAAGGCTCGCTGCTGGTCTGGGAGGCTGAAGGGCCGTAGCCGTCGCTGGTCCCATTCATGGAGCAGGCCTAGTGGAAGGTTCTGCTTTTTTTTTTTTTACGAGGTTTCTTTGAACTGGAGTGTTTTCATCTTGGCCTCGGAGA